AATTATGATAAACAATATTTTAACTATTTACAATTTTTTAAAATATTAAAATTCAATTTAGATATCAGGTTTAATTATTCATATAATCTTTGTATTTGTAGTATTTTTACTATTTGATCCTTATATCTAGAAATTATACATTTTAGTTCTTACACGTACTTTTATTTACATTTTGATCTGTATTGTTAAATCCCCTCTGACGTTATTAATAGTAGGGTGACATGGCAATGATATATCTGAGGTTGATGTTTTAATCTCTATACTTACACTAATTCCTATAGCTAGAAACTTTATATTTTAGTCTTGTACGAGCAATTTTTTATGTTTCAGTCCTTTTCATCAATTCTCAAGTTAATTTTAGATTTTTTAACACTTACAAAATTGAAACTATTGGTGTAAAATTGTCAAGAATTTGAAAACATGTTTCCACCATGTGCTATCGTCAAAAGCGATTATCAACAAGTCCCTCTCTTCAAAATATATTTCATTAGGGTTAAACATGTTAGTTAGAAAACGGTGCATACTAATTGGCGTATGTACCCAAAATTAATACTAATGCGCATTCCATATCATAAATTTGGTAGCATAGTTTTTTCTTCTTTTTTTCATCTGCGATCACTCAGCTTGTATAATTCGTATGCAATCACAATCTATTGCATCATCTCTTGATGCTCCATTCAACTGTTGACATGTATGAAGACATTCTTCAAAGATTGATAAATTCTAAATGAGTCACACAACATCATGCACGTTTAACATTGAATGAAGTGTATTAGATAGTACCTACTAAAATGTTACTCCATGTAAATATTATGGCAAGTAACAACTGGGATTGAACACAACAGCCAACCATTAAACATTTAGATCTGAACAACTATGCAGTCAAATCTGTCCCACGAACACCTTTGAGATTAGATATATACATTAAATTGTAGTGTTATCCGAAAGTTCCATGTCAAGTCTAAGAGTATACATTCGGTTGAGACAGGGAATGCAGAAATAGATGCACAAAAGGATTAGATTCAGAGTTGTTTTTTCCTCCAAATCAGCTGCAACACCCACCTCTTGCAGAAACAGATCCATCTCTGGCACCTGATTGACCTTGGGGACGTCCATAGCCAATTTTTATACCAAATGACTGCAATAATAGGTTACTTGGGGTAATCTTAGCCAAGAGGGCACATAAGGAAGCAAGAACATTTACTTTTTATTTATTTATTTTTTACAAAAAAAAAAGAAAAAAAAGAAAAACATTCATGCTTCATTTTCATTTAACTCATTTTAGTGAAACCAGATATCACTAACACAACCTAAATCTCAGATGATATTACAAAGACAAGTGAAAATACCCAAAAAAAAATTTACAGTGACCTAGAGCTTGTTTGAATACAAGCTTCTAGGAGCTTTGAGAGTTCATCTACTAGAAAAAGCTTTGTTTTCAAAAAAGAAATTCTCAAAAGTTCTTCCAAATTTATATTCAAACAAATTCTTATTATGACAATAAAAAGGTGAAAAAATCCATTCTCAGGACGCAATCTAAAGAATTAACACTAATCACATGATTTTTGTTCTTGATAATTTGATTTATAAATATGATGTCATATTGGAGTAGGACCAATAATGATCAGAATCCAAGATATTGTCACAACAGAACCACCACTTTTTGCATAACAGGATATAATTACCTCATTGGACACATCAAAGACACCTTCCTGAATATTCTGAAGAATCTTAGCAGCAGTCTTTATAAAAGCCTGCACAATAAGAATCAAGTTACTTTTGATGGTAGTGAAATTCACAACATGAGGAAGCAAACATATATGCTGAGAATCTGGCTATAGATTGAGATATATCACCTCTTCCACATTTTGAGCTGTCCTAGCAGAAGCCTCCAAGAACAGAAGTCCATTTTCCTTAGCAAATTGTTCCCCCTCCTCTTTGCTCACTGCCCTTCGATGAGACAGATCACACTTGTTCCCTATCAGCATGATTGACATGTTAGGATTGGCATGCTGCCGGGCATCTTCCAGCCAACTTGCTAAATGATTAAATGTGTCTCTCCTGGTCAATAAAAGAATCTTTTGGTTTTCAGTTGAAGGGACTTTGAAAAATGAACAAATCTCAGAGATTTAAACCTCCCACCCACCGCCCGCCCCACCACAATCACATACAGAAAAGCAAAAAATGAAATGGGGGACAGGATCTTGGAAATAATATTTATTTGTTTATATGGAACAAAATTGTACACTGTTCAGGAGCCCACAGTACAAAAAAAAGGGATACATACCAGCACAGCACATGTACTCATAAACTTGAGACAGACAAAAAAAATTGTAACACAACATATTGCTTGCAATCAGCTGTATTAGAGCTTCCCAGATGAGGTATTGGAAAACCAAAAACTATATAAGGTGGTTCAAACATCAAAATTTGAAAGCAAACTAAGCCACAGATGCCTAATTGAAACTTTCAAATAGGCCAAACAACAAAAGCAAGAGAAGGCAATAACAAAGGCTGAGGTCAAACACCAAAACTTCAAAAGTTTGTAGACTCACAACTGCACAATATTATAGCATTTCACTTCTATTGCATTGGTAGCAATCATGAAAGTAGCAAATACCACGCAACATAGATAGGTGCATGTTAGAATGGTGATGCAAAGTTTGGTATTACTCTTGAGCTGCATACTATGATTTCTATGTCAAATAATAGACAATAGCACCACCCACCTTGTAATGTCATAAACTAGAAGTGCTCCTGCTGCTCCTCTGTAGTAAGACCTAGTGATGGATCTAAAAGACTCTTGCCCAGCCTACAGTTAAACAGCAAGTTCTTCATCAGTATCTAAATATTATTAAAAACTATATCTTTTGACATGACAAAATATATTTAAACAAAGAGTTCCATATTCAAAATTATTAAAACTGTTTAATTTCATTCAGATTCTATAGGTACACCATCTCATTGACCAATGAAAGCATTCTACAGGTACATCATGCATGACCAAGCACTGCAATCCAGACTTGGCCTTTCGAAGCTAGAAAGCACAGTCATGTGGGTCAACATTACCTACTAAAAGTGCCTCAGACAGCCATAATTTCAGAAACCAGTTTTGCTAGGTTGAATGAGTACAAATTTCTGGGACTACCTTATCTAAATGGATGATAAATATAAACAAAGTTAAGTAGCATCCCTGAAAAAGAAGCAACAAGTAACCTGAGGCATAACTAATGGGCTCTGTGTATGTCATATATCTGCTTGAACAAGTTCAGCTAGAGATTTCCCATCCTAAAACAGGTTTTCAGCATTTTCACAATAAGGTTCATATTCCTTTCTCTCAATCACAAATCCAATATACTATTGTTTTAATATCTATATACAGAAAACAGAACCTGCAAGAGTAAAAGAGGAGCAAATTTCAACTATATATTTCAAATGAATAGTTAAAATTAAAATAATCTTAATTGTATGATCAAAACTAACTTCTCTCACATCACTAGATGTGCCTTGTATAGAAACTTGTTCCTCTTATTTTTTGTGTAAAAAGGGTTTAAGTGAGTTGGGCCCAGAGGCTCAATATATAGTCAGGTCATGGAGGAATTATTAGGTAGTCCAAGACTAGAAAGTGTCCATGGTCTCCCCTAATAACTATATACACATTTAAAATTTTCGATTTACAAGAAATCAATAACACTTGATTACATGTCATGTAAAAACTAGTTAGGGACCTTCTGATGAAATACCACCTAATAATTTCTCTAGTGCACGCCTCCCCACCCCAAGCGAGCCAGTAGAACAACTTACAAATTATCCACCAATGAAGCCCTCACATCAATGGTAGTGGATTTGAACTTGCATCCTAATTTCCTTGGGAGATATGAGTTTTATCCTAACCAACTGAACCAACTTTCATTAACTATAGAACTTTATTCCTAATTATGTCCTAACACTATTATTATTTTCCGTGATTCAATTAAAAAATTAAAACAAACTTACGAAAACATTTCAAACCAATCAATCATTAAAAAAAAAAAATCCTGTAGTGTTTTAGTACATACACATACCCTTGTCAATCCTCACCTAAATTGAAATGCCCTACCAAAAACTAATCAAGTTATAATGAAAATTTTTATGAAATAGATTACCCAATTTCAAACGCATTCCTCAACCGACGTACTATTCACTTTTCGACCAACTTTTTTCAAACATTCACAACCAACATAAATAATGAACAGGTCATAAAAATTTTCATTGCATATACGTAGATGGAAATGATTATTTCCTATAAAGTGCATGAAAATAAGATGAACTGTGTTCATTTGATAGAAATTTGCCATATCAGTGCACCCACTTGTAAAGCAAAACTTGTTTTTTCTTTTAGAAATTACGAGTTTGTTGACATTGCCATTCGGATCCATGGCATAACATAAATCCGTAAGTAAACGATGACCTCAAAATTTCTGAAATTTCTTTGACATTTTCATTGAATCCTGCATATTATTGAAATAATCAAAGTTACATTACAAACAACAATAGTTGATAAATAATATTAGTGAACATGGAAAATAGAATGAAAATACCTTTCCTGGAGTTAATTTTCTAGCGGAAGTTTGAAACCAGTATTTGAACTTGTCGTTGTTTACCGATGTGGAAGAAGATGCCATGGTTAAAATCTGAAAAAAAAAGCAGTAGTACGAAGTAAATGCTGAATAATACCCAAACGAAGATGTAATTTTGAAATTTATAGAGTCAATACAGACATACCTGGATCAGAGAAGGATGGAGTGAATGATGAATAAAACCGAAAATGAAGGCAATGCTGTTATGGTCGTCACATATGGAATGTGAAAAGTGTGTATGGAGGAGTGAATGTTAAATAAGTCATTAAGGGGAGGGGGTGTAAAAACCCATAAACCGAAAAGGGACGCGTGTTTAACAGAAGTGGGTATTAATTATGTAATAAAGAAATATATGAATATTTATATAAAAGTCATCACACACAAACCGTATTTACATTTAGATTTACGAAGCACATAGAGATTTGATGAGGGATATCAAATCTATTTATGTATGAGTGCGATTACATGATTTCGATAAGCAATGATGATTTTAGAAGTATGCAGTAATAGTCATACACGTGTGCATTACGGAAGCAGGGTCAGTTTGAATAATACATGCTTTTTTAGTGTTTACTTCCGATTCATTATCCCAATGTTTGATACAAAGTCATTACAGTGTAATAATAATAATATTTTTAATTTAAATAATTAATTAATAAATTATTTAATAATAAAAAGATGATTAACAAATTATTGAATAAAAAATAATCACATTTTATAAAAAAAATTATTAAATGTAATACAATTGAAGTAATTATGTAATTAGTTTACAGAATTATATATTTCTGTATTTTTGTCGTGATTGGAATTAAAAGAATGCATATGAGAGTAAATCACAGGAAAAGAAAGTATAAAAGTTACGAATGTTTAACAACAAAAATGTATCATCGATTGACCACAACAACAACAACTAAATTTTGGAAATGTTTATCACTAGATATTCCAAGTGAAAAACTTTTTCCAACTTCAGGACGTCACCCTGTTTGAATTTTCCAGTCTTCAAAAATTGCATCCACGCAGAACCCAAATAACACTCCTTAGTTTGGCAGGATGATCTTCTGCTTATATATGATTCATATTGTTTTTTTTTATTGACATCAAATAAAAAACAATATCGAGAATCATTTATGTTCCAAGCAACGACGTATTTAACAAGAAAATTCTAGCACCAAGCAATAAAATAATTAGTAAAGTATATTATATTAAGCATATGTTAGTTTTATTAATTATTTACTGCAAATTTAGAAAGTTGATTAATAAAATTATTTTTAACTAAATTATTTACTCACCAATGGTTGTTTCCCTGTAGCTGCTGCTTTTGTTAGAGTCAAATACCACGGTGGATAAACGAGCAGGTTATCCTCATTAGGCTCTTGTATTATGTTATTGTCACTGATAACAACAACTTCCAACATTGAATGAATTTTATAAAGTAGGAGTATAAGAATAAAGAACTTAACAAATTTTTTAAATTCAATGTTACCTTAGATTTTGAGAGTTTGGATTGTCGAGATAAATAATTTCTTCACCATTATACTCATACAAACCCTAACTTTAGCATCGGAGTCTCTTTTGCAGGTATCACCCCATCTTGGAGCATCAACGTACCAGTGAAGGAGACTCATCGACCTTACTCGGGAGATCACCTCTACGATAGATTTCTGGTAAGAACATTTGGCGCCCACAGAGAGAGAGAGAGTAAACTTACGGTATCCCATATCTGAAGCTTGATGGGTCGAGAATCGATGGTGACCATGCGAGCGCCAAACTCGACACCAATGGTGAGATCATGAACGGGTTGGATCCTCTTGTCGGTGAATTGGAGGAGCAGGCACGATTTCCCTACCCCTGCGTGGCAGAGGAGAAAAACCCGAACTTGGAGTCAGATTCGGAGACCCAATTGCGAGAAGAAAAGAGGGTAGGCGAGAGAAATCCCAAACCTGTGTCGCCGATGATGATGTACTTGAAGAGGTAGTCGTACGACATGGCTGGCCGAGTCCAAACGACGTCGTTTAGCGAAAGCGAAACAGAAAGAAGAAGAAGAAGAAGACGGTTTAGTTGAATAGGACGAGAAAGGAAGAAGAAGAAGAAGAAGAAGAAGAAGAAGAAGAAGAAAGGAATGCTTTGCTTTGTTTGAATCCCAACCAAATGAAGGAGGTGACGTATCCGTATCACTTATTCTACATCTACAACATTCATTCGATATTACTTCTTTTTTCTTTTTTTTATGACAATACACATTGGTTGATTATGATGTAAAAAAAAAAAATTATACGTGCATGATTATTAAACTTTTTTTTAATATTCAATTTTATTATGTTCTTTGTGGTAGAGTGTAGGAAAGAGTTAATTGATTTGTCTTGCACTCTTACTTGACCCACTAAAAGATCTTCTTAATATTATATTGTATTTCAATATTAAAATGGTAGAGTTTAAGTATAATAAAGTGGATTATCTCACCCAATATGAGAAATAAGATAGATGTAAGTTGATGTAAAAAAAAAGGGATGAGAGAGGTTGGCACTATAAAAAGATTGAAAAATATAACTTATTTTATTTAAAAAATTCGATTAACATATTTTAATATAAGAAAATTTGATGTGATAAATTGAATGGATTTATTTATACAGCCTTACTTACTAAAAATAGATAATTTGATAAATTAATCCATCAAATTTATTCTACATTGTTATCCCTATCAAAGTTCTAAATTTTTTTGTATGTTAAATTATGATCAAGCTTTATAAATAAGTTAAAATGAGATTTATGTTTGCACGTATAAATAAGAAAAAAAAATATAAACAAACAAATCATATATATGTCATTGCATAAACAATTAAAAGATATTATATGATTTTAAAAATTAAAAAAATCATTATTAAAAAATTTAAAATTTGAAAAATAACTAAATAACTAACATAATTACGTTGTATTTATCATAAAAGTATTATAAATAAAAATATATGCTTACTGTTTATTTATTTTTAGTTTTAAAAAAGCAAAAAATTAAGTATCATACAAAAATATTATGTGATACACATACTAAAATAAATCATCATGCACCTAACAATGATTGTACAAATTAAAATATTTAATAATCAAACATGATTGAAATATAAGATAAAATTAAAATCATGTATATTTTAAAACTTAATATAAACCAGAAAATTTACCATTCATACGATTAAATAAATATATGTAAATAGACATAGTATATGAAGACTTAGCATTGTTTCTTAATATGGTTCCAATTCTTTAACCTGCCTTCAAAAACTTTTGGCGGATCTATATCAAGTAATTAGACCTTTGGTAGATTACTTTTGCAGGAAAAAATGGATTTTGGAGTGTACCAGTCTTTCATATAGCAACTAGCATATAAACATGGTATTCGAACAAAAAAGTCAGAATTTCATTAAAGGGCTCTATCGACCCAAATTACAACAAAGGGGCATGAAGGCCCAAACGAGCAAAACTAACATTAAAGCAAAAATTCATGAGGCCACCTCGGGCTCCTCATTGATCGGGACACCCCCTCAGCAGCTTCCTCTTCATACACCGTTTCCTCTTCATCGACCGGCCTGCCTGGTGAGGAACGGGTGCCTCAGCATCTAGATGCTCATTAGGAGGGATTTGGGCCAAATCCACCAACTCCCCCCGAAAGAAGTCCTGGGTCATATGTCGAATTGGAAGTCGCGGGGAAAGCTTCCGAAGAAGCGGGCTTGTCGAGCCGCTTGCGCGAAACTGGCCTCATGCTGGGAGAGAACCTTGTTGTGAGCCTTCTCTTTATAAGCCCCGTAAGCAATCTTCTCGGCCTCCAGCTCTTTACCCACCAGATTCACCTTCTCCGTTCAGCCTTCAAGGAGTTCTCAAGTTGTTGGACCTTCAAACTCAGATCGTCGGCTAATCGGCCCCAGCGGTCCATCTCTGCCTGAAACTTGGCGCTGGCCATTTGTGCATCGGTTAGGGCGGCCAAAGTTTCCTGCATGGACTTTTCGGAGTCAGAGAATTGCCAACATAACTCGTCGGCCTCCGGATATTGGCTCCATCACAATGCTCTGGGCCAAGGCCAAAGCTCGTACTTGGAGCTTGCAAAAAAAGTTCCATTTTTACGCGGGACTCATTCGGCCCACGCATGACTGACCCACTTTGGACGTCAAGTCTTGGCTCAGAAAATCCTGAGCGTTGACGTTCGAAGCCAAGAAACTTGGCCCCACCAAGCCTTGAGGAACGGCAAGGCTGGCCAACCTCTACTACTTGGCCTGTCGGCCCCCATCATCGGCCCTCTCTTCCTCGGGCCTTCTTTTTCCAGCTAGGGGCTGAGATGCCCCCTTGGCACCCTTGCCCTTCCCCTTTGTAGTCGGCCCGCCTGCGCTACCATGGGGGGAATCGGATTCCCACCCAAGCGACCTTCGGCTGTTGCCTCCACCGTCACCGGAACGGCCACTCGGCTATTGATCAAATTACGAATGTCAGGGTTGTCACTCCTGCAGCTTGCCATAATACATGCACACCATTAGTCAAAATCAATGATAACATAATAATTTAAATAAGTGGGAAAGTTACTATACCGATTAGCTCATCAGTTATGTTGGACGACTCAAACAGCAGAACTAAAGGTCGACACGACATAGGTCGTGGTAGTTTCTCTAAAAAGTTAAGGTTGGCTCGCTCCTCTAGGGACATTCGCGACTTCGAAACTACGTCATACTTTCGCGGCGCCCGGGTCCAATACAAGGGGAATAATGACTTCCCTTCAGCATCAAAAAAGTACTTATTCCCCGTACTTGGCCGAATCATGACCTTTATAAATCCTACTTTGAACTTCTTGTAGAAGGTGGTGCAAGGTTGCAATAAACAGTTGGCCTTCCGAAGCAAAGAAAGCCACTTGGCCTTCCTCGTCGGCCGAGACAAGTAGTAATAAAGAAAGAGAAGCGGCGTTGGTTAAATGCCGAGAGCTAAACACAGCCGTTGGAATCCTTGCATGGCCGCCCAGTTGTTGGGATGAAGTTGGGTTGGCGCCACGTTAAGAAGCCGGAGGACACCCACAAAAAACTCGTCAAACAGAAGTGTCACCTTCAAATCTTGGAACAAGTAGTCGTATACATAAAAGTATTGATATTTATAATTCTCTTGATCCAGATAGACGAAGTCAGGATTCGGCCCCCCGTCACTCTAGCCGAGAAGGTTAGGAACTTCTCGACCGAGACGAACAACGCTATCGAATTCCTATCGGTGTAGAGTGAATACACACTACCGACCTCCCCATTCACCCACTTGTAGCTCGGGGTCTCTATCGGATGGTAGCGGCGAGAAGCCGACCCGACTTTGTGCATAGTAGGACGGTCATCGGAGATTGACACAAATGAAGACTCGTCTCCACTTTGGGAGCACTCAAATCTCGGAACGACCTCAACGCTATCTGAACCATTAGAAGCTAACGCGCGATGTCGATTAGATCCCGCATGCGATCTAGTGCCGGTAGAGCCACTTGTGTCCCCAGAGGAATTGACCCAAACAACATCTATATCAGCCATAGAAACGTACCTAAATTGAAGCTTGATCCGTCTCGATCGGTGAAAATCGCTTGGAACCACTAAAACTTGAACTTGATGTCGACTTGGAGCAAGCAAGTGAAATACGTATGTATTGGTCCCACCACACACCTATTTATAGGCCTTTCTTCGGACAAGATCTCAAACGACGCATCCTTGAGCACCGTTGGATCAACTTAATCCAACGATCCACAAAAGACAACTCTTCGCGTCCCTCATCATTAATGACCAACGGTTACAACCCTTCACATTCTAACACCCAACTACCATGTGTGCAACGCCACAACTACCCTTTACGTCGTTTCACTCCTTAAGGCTGGGGGGCTTGTGTAGCAAAAGGATCATATCGGCCATGTGGGTCGACACGTGGCATCCTATCAGCCACCGAGATGGCTCTCAGATACGATAATGGTCGTAATAACAAACCTGCAAGACCATTAATGGCTCAACTGGGACAGTTATTAGTTAACCTTCTTACCAACGTCTTGTCGGGCCCGAGACCAACAGGTAACCCCAATTGTACACCCCTCGGCACGGTCAGCGGCTGATAAGACCGAACACCAGGACCATAATTGGCTATACTCCTTAGCAGCTCTTCGGCTCGGCAAAAGGTTGAGAACAAAAGGCAACCCCAATCCTTTAGCTCTCGGCTCGGCCAACGGCCGATAGGACCAAGCAGTTATTAAGACGATGATCACGATTAACAAGGACAAACACGCGATTAAGATACAATCAACCGATTAGTACCGTATTACCTAATTTGGCATGTGTCAGAGGAGACCCACCATGTTTAGGGCCCATTACAAGTAGTATAAATAGGTCATGTAAAACGAGGTATGCACTGTTCATTTATTACTATTGAGATTCGTGTTTGTCCTGACTTGAGCGTCAGAGTGCCTTTTACAGGTATCTCCCCCCTTTGAAACATCCGCTCAGAGTTCTTGTTCGGTCCTCCAACTACTAGAAGTTTACGAATGTGCCCTTAGACATGTACAAATCCTCTTTAATAACAATATGTATGGTTTTAATGTTTTAGTATATGTAATATATTGTATATAGTAATGTGTTATTTGTAAAATATGTGTTGGCCTTATTTGATTGGTTCAATTACATATCCAATTTAAAAATATTTTTTTGTTCATAGACATGATTATTCTAAATTAATATATAATATGTATTTATATACAGAGATTTTTTTTTTTCTTTCAATTTCTTATCTCTTCTTATATAAATTTATTTATTCTTATTTTTAAATCAAAGTTCAATATTTATTTATTGAAAAAATTATTAATAGTTAAAAATAAATTTGTCACAATTCTTTTAATCATAAATGTACAATATAATTGATATGTTAAAAAGATTTATTTATTATGGATTTTAACTATAATATAATTTATATATTTATACTTTTTTACTATAAATTTAGATTATGTTAAATAAATATTTATTATGCGTTTTATATAAGTTTTTTTTTCGTAGAAATGCAACAAAATACCAGGTAAGATTTACGAGAATCACAAACCATATTTAACCAATTGAGTTTATCGGTTTTAATCATATTATCCATACTTTATTTATGCATATATCGCATGAGTTCATAACCTAGTTATCCTCACTCATAAAAATAAATATATTATCCAACTTTATTATTTTTTTAACTCAATTTTTTCTTAAGATAAAAAATACTAACTAAAGTACAAAAATAAAATAATTAATTAAATAAAATAATCACATCTCAACAGTATATCCAACAATTAATTATTAAAAGATAGAATAATTATTTTATCTTACCATCTAATAATAATAATTAATCTTTGAAACTAAACTCGTCTAATTAAATTAATCATATATTAAACTTATTCAATTATTCTTTGAAATAAAAATACGCAAACTAAAATAAGAAAATAAAATAATTAAATAATATATTTGTATTTTAACCTTACATCCAATAACTAATTATTAAAAAAATAGAAGAATTATCTTATCTAATATATTATAACAGTTAATCTGAAGAATTAAATTTATCTAATTAATCATATATCAATGTTACCCATTTTTTCACACGATAAAAGTGGAACGATATCATAATAATTAATCTCAAACTAAATTTATATCTAAAAGTTACTCAAGATAAAATATACATTAATTAAAATAAAAAAATAAAAAATTAACAGAATAAGATAATCATATCTCAACATTACCTTTAATAAAAGATTATTAAAAAATAGAATAATTATTGAATCTTAACATATCATAATAATTAATCTCAAACTACACTTATATCTTAAAATTACTCAAAAATAAAATACGCATTAATTAAAATTAAAAATAAAAAATTAACAGAATAAGTTAATCATATCTCAACATTACCTTCAATAAAAAATTATTAAAAAATAGAATAATTTATTCAATCTCAATATTTCATAACAATTAATCTCTCATTCTAACACTATCTAATTTATAATTATCTAAGATATGTTCATTTGAATCATTGTTATTGTTAATGAACATATTTTTCTTTAAAAAAAAAAAAAAGAATTTTTTAATGCCACCATTGAGCACGTTCGAACGTTGGCCGAAACGATGTCGTTCCAATATCTTAACCTAGCTGAAACAATGTCTCACTATCTCATCCTTCCTATTTCATCCTTGCCAGCTGGACTACGTTGAACCCACCAAAGCCATCACTAACGCGACGCCAAAGCGCGTGAACCCAACCCACACAAAACGCGCGACAAACCAAGAAGCGTTCTCAACACGCGCCACTCTACGCGAGTGGGGCTGGCTTCGTTTCGCACGAAGCGGGGCAGAATCGGAAACCGGAAAAGGCTAAGGGCATTATCGGAAACGAAAAATAGCTCCCTCAATATAAAAAGTCTAAAAACTTATTTTGGTCCCTTATAATAATTATTTACTTCAACTTAGTCTCATTTTTATTTTTGGTCTCAATTTGGTCCCTCATAAGTTAATTGATTTCAATTTGGGACTTTCATCCAAATTATTTAAATGGAATTAATTATTGGTCACGTGGATCTCACATAGATGCATACGTAGATTCCACGTGGACGCCAAATTTTGTGAAAACACCTAGAACTAGAACGACCCGTTCTGGATGCACTCTTGGTGTGTTAATTTTGCATCTGAAACGGGCCATTCTAGATGCAAAATTAACACACTATTAGTACATCAGAACGGGACGTTTTGGTATCAGAACGAGCCGTTCTGGATTCAGAATAGCCCGTTCCAAGACTGATAATAGAATATTCTTTATTAATTTTATTAAAAAATATAATAATTTTAAAAAATATTTTTTTTATGGTAAAAATTCTAAAATTATTTACTTTTATAAAATACAATTAAATAGAGTAATAACTTTTTCTTTTTCGCTTTCTGTCTGAAGAAATATTTAAGTGTCACTTTATAATTTTTTACAACTTATTTAAAATTAGAGGAATAAAATGATAAAAATTAATAGGATAAACATAATAAAATTATTAATTTGTTTTCTTTTAGTGTCCTCTAAATTTTTACACTCATTTAAAACAAAAATATTTTATATGTTATTTTGAATTAATTTAACGAAGTATCATATGATTTTTTATTTTTTAAATTTTTTTATAAATTTGATCTATACATGAAAAACTTTTTAATTTAACAATTAAATTCTTTAAAACTTGATATAGAACATTAATTATTAAATATAATAAATCTATCAAGACTTACTCTTGAAGTAAGTAAATTTTTTCTTCATTAAAAATGAAGATAATTTTACCACAAAATAAAAAAAATTAAACAATAAAATAAAATTAAAAAAATATTAATATATTTATTATATTAGATATAACAACATAATTAAAATATAATTAATAATATATATTTTATAAAATTATTAATATTTTATATATAAAAAAGAATGAAAAAATTTTAGTGGGGCACTATGATTAACTTGAATCTGTCCCTGCACATGCTTGTGGTGAAATGTTAGTTCTGTGTATCCTCTTCCTTTACTCCAGGTTCTACTTTTTCAAGAACAGGTTGTTGTTGTTGAGGTACATCGTTAATGACTTCAAGGAAAAATATTATGTCATTTCATCATTTAGTGTATAGTTTTAATTTGGTAGTAAGTGATTCACTCTAGTTTGAAATGAAATAAAATCTGCTATCATTGTCTTTAGTGATACATTACATTGACCTTAATAATACAATGTATAGTCTAACTGTTTAACAATTGGAGTTATCAATTTCCATCGATAATATTACCAAATTCAGTGTTTAAAATGTTTTGTACCTTAGGTCTTTTTCCTTCCATAACTGTAAACTATAATCATTGATCGTTTATGCTTAGCAGTCTGAAACCAGAACGGCCCGTTTTGGTTCCGGGTGTTTTCAAAAAAATTGGCATCCACATGGCATCCACCTATGCATCTACATGGCATCCATGTGGCCACACAGTTAACTTCGTTTAAGTAATTTGAACGGAAGTCCCAAATTGAAACTAATTAATTTATTAGAGACTAAATTGAGACTAATTAATTTATTAGAGACCAAATTGAGACAAAAAATAAAACTGGAACTAAATTGAAATAAATAATTATTATAAGGAACCAAAACATGTTTTTAACCATATAAAAATCTTCGAACCCTAGTCTTCAATATCACTCCGCATTCTCGCTCTATCGCTCAGTCTGTTTAGTTGCGGCTGAGGATTTCTGAACGAGCGACCTTCGTTCCTCGCAAAGGTAGCATCCTATGCTCTTGTCTCGTTGATTCGATCCATGCATGGTTTTTCTTTGCGATGATGTTTCTTCCGTTTGTGTTTTTCTGATTCGAATGTTAGGTTGTTTGGTATGCGGTTCGGTTTTTGAGCCTTTGCTCTGCTTTTGTGCCGATTAATTGTAAGGGGTTTTCAAATTTTCGTGTTTTCTGTCGTTGAATCTTGTTCATGTGTTCACAGATCTGTTGGATTTGTGTTATGAGTATGGGGTTCTGTTTATTCTTTATGAGCTTATGATGTTTTTGGCTCGTTTATTATGGATCTGTTATGACGTTTTTTTTTTAGTTTGTTTACATGATGAAGCTGTTCTTTTGTGTTGTTGATTTGTTTATGTATTCGTCTATGGTTCTCTTTTTTCTTAAGGTTTGATATCATTTAGCTTGTTTGCTTTGTCTTTATAAATGATACATGCGTAATATTTTATTATGTATGCTAACGTTTTTTTTGACGAAATATTTTAATGTATTTGGATTTAGTTGATGTGTTGTTTATTTATTTCAAATTTTTATGGATCCTTTGAATTGTGTTGTTGATTTTTTAAGAGTTTGTTTTTGTTTCTTCTTTATTGTAAACATTGTGGATAGGATTCTGTATGTTGCTAGAGATTGATTCGTCTGTTAGATATGATTTTGCTTGGCTGGTTTTCTTTTTTTGGTTATTTTTAATGTTTATTGAGTTGTAATTTGTTTTTATATGTTTGTCTATGTTTTTGCTAAGTAGAAAATGCTGTAGCTAGAATTCAGTATGCTGTGATGGGTATGCTGTTATTGTTACAAATTGATTTATCTTTTGGATATGAATCATATGATTCTTTTTGGTTTATATAAATATAATAAATTAATAAGTAATTTGATATATTTTTTTTATAATTTATTATTTAAAAAAAAAGAGTATCTTTGATTAGAAAAAAATAATGGATTTAATATTATTAAGATAAGATATATAAATAAATAAGTAATTTAGTTTATATATATATATATATATATATATATATATATTGAAAAATGTATTTGAGATTGAATGAAAAATACAATAAGAGATTATTTTGAATTAAGATTAAGATTAAAATTTTTTTATTATAACATCTTCTCACTCAACTAGAGTTTTACTATTTTTTTTAAGTAAAATAATCTTTTATCTAATTAATTTCTATTTAATTTGATAACAAAAATTATGGCTTAAAATTAAGATTATATGTGTATATAGCTCTAAGAAAATATATAAATAATAATATATTTACAAAAATAATATTTGGGATAATATATTTGTTTGTATAAATTAGAATAATATAAGACACATGTGAATATAAAATTATTACTATATATACTTTTAAATAAATATTCTAACATATTATGTAAAATAAAAATATACTAAAATTAAAATAATATAAAAAAATAATATTATAACATATGCAATCATATATAGTGATAAAAAAAAGAAAATAATATATACAAGATTTTGGAATATCTTTTTTATCATTATAATCTTTTTTTATTGATTAAAAAGAAATACAATTATTTATAACATTTAAAATGTCAGGTTATAAAAAAAATAATATTTAATTATGGTTAAAACATATTTGGTCCCTTATAAATTTTTTTTGTTTTAATTTAGTCTCACTTCAATTTTTAGTTTTAATTTGGTCCCCAATAATTTAAATTATTACAATTTGGTACTTCCATCCAAATTATTTAAATAGAGTTAACGGTTGGCCACGTGGATGTCAGGTGGATGCTAAATTTTTCGAATTCTGGTTCCAGAATGGTCTATGACCATAGCTCACGGTTGTGAATTGTGCAAGGAAAAAAATTCAAGGTACAAAGCATTTCAAACACTAGATTTGGTAATATTGTCAATGGGAATTGATAATTTCAATTGCTACACATTTAGGTTATACAGTGTATTATTAAGGACGATGGAGTGTATTACTAAGGACAATGGTAGCAGGTTTATTTCACTGTTAGTCAAACTGGAGTGAACCACTTACTACCAAATTAACACTATATAGTCAAGGATGAAACGAAACGATGTTTTTTCTTGAAGTCATTAACGATGTACCCCAACAATAATATCCTGTTCTTGTGGGCGTACAACCTGAATTTTTGTGGTTTAGGGTTTCTTTTCAGCATTATCCAGATGATTTCCTTTCTCAATAATTTCTTTGAACTTTTTTAGTATATGTTATGTTCTGAACTTTTATTTCCAGTTTCGGAACCATGTTTCTGTCTTTAAATATATGATATATGAATTTTTATTTTTAATTTTTGAATCACATTGCGGTATTTTGGTCAACGGATGCATGAAGTTGGCGTTCTGGAACGGGCCGTTCTGGAGAACGGCCCATTCTGGAGAACGACCCGTTCTAACACCAGAACGGGCCGTTCTGGTTTCAGAATGGCCCGTTCTGATGCACTTATGATGTGTTAAATTTACATTTGGAACGGCCCGTTCCAGTTGCAAAATTAACACATAACATGTGCAAGCAAAACGGGTCGTTCTGGTTCCCGGTGTATTTATGCAATTTGGCGTTCACCTATACATCTACGTGGCTTCCACCTGACATCCACGTGGCTAACAGTTAATTCCGTTTAAATAATTTGGATAGAAATCCCAAATTGTAATAATTTAAATTATTGAGGACTAAATTGAAACTAAAAATTAAAGTGAGACTAAATTGAAAAAAAAAATATTATAAGAGACCAAATAAGAATTTTAACCTTTAATTATTTTATAATAAATATATAAAATAAATCATTTGTCTAATGTGATAAAGAACAGAGTTTGATTTATACGCATCAATAATGTAAAAAATTATTTCTTCAAAATGATATCATTATTTTTACAAATAAAAATATAAAATTTATTTAAAATAAAAAGATTTTTTTTCGAAAAAAGAAGAAACTAATAGCATAAGAATATCATTATATCAATAACTATACTTAAAATAAAAATAATTACCTAAAATCAAATTAAATATGATATATATTAGTTTTTTAAATTAAATAAATCATTAACATACACCGTGAATGAAAATATTGGCTGAAGGACTCAAGGCACAAATCTGTAACGTGTGAAATTTTTATTTAATTATTAAGAAACTATTATTATTTTAAAAGTTAAACGACGTCGTTTGGAAAATTAAAAATTTTGAGAGAAGTTGAAGGTGAAGGTGAGTGGTGTGACTAACCCTAGTGCAAGATTCATGCAACAAAATCCCTTCTCTGTTCAAATCTGTTATGTAAAATTTATTTTGTTTTTTCAGTTCTTTAAGGCACGGTGTAAATTTTATTGCAAGAAGGTGTTGCTACGATGAATGCTTCGGAGAAAGAAGACACTGAGATTGATGCAACGAAAATCCTATCCAACAGTGAGAATGCTAAGTTGAAGAAGAAGAAGAAGAAAGTGGCGTCGAATGATGCAGATAAGCGCGGTGTGTGCTATTTGAGTCGAATCCCCCCTCACATGGACCATGTCAAGCTTCGCCACATTCTCTCTCAGTTCGGAGACATTCAGAGAATTTTTCTCGTTCCTCAAGGTCTCCCTCTCTCTCTCTCTCTAAAATCTTCGTACTACTCTTTTATTTTCAGGCAAGCTTGATTTTAGTGTGTTTATACAAATGTTTTTTAATTTATTTTTATTAAATTTCAACATTTATTTTGATACTAATATTTAAAATTTTAATAGGCAGAATTGCTTGGCATCTCCGCATGTTTAAAGTCATTGGTTATTTTTTTTATTAAGAAATTTACGGTCAACAGGTTAGAAATCAATTTAGACTTGAAAGTTTAGGGCATGTTGAGCTCTCCACAAAAAAAAAAAATAATAACGAAAAATGAAATATGATTCTTTGAGTTAAAACTAGCTTATACTGGGGAAGCTAATGTAATATGAGAATTTTTACAAATTTACTTTTGTACAAGTTAATTTTAGCTTTTGGGGAAGCTTATTCTAGTTTCTTTTCTTCAAATTTTCTTCTACTATAAGTGTTTTTAGAGATGTAGGTTATGCAAACTGAATCTTAATATATCACCTTAGATGTGACTTTGGAGGAGGTAAGTATAATTTTAGTATAAAGATTTTTAAAATGTCATCTAAATAGAAATTATCGTCAGCATGACAATCTAATATATTAGTGGATGATATTGTTAAAAAAGAAAAATCTTAACACTTTTAATGTGTTTAATTAAATTCTAAAAATTTAAAGTTTATCATATATGACATAATGACAATGGTGATTGTATGAGTGTAAAAAAAAACTCTATACTATCATAGCATTGTAATTAAGGTTTTAAAGGTATATACTATTTGCTTATTTAGAGTTTTGTTATGGTTGAGATTTTTTTATATTTGAATTTTTCAGATCCTAATGCCCAAGTGCGTGTTAAGCGGTCTCGTGGATCCCGTGACCAAGCATATTCAGAAGGGTATTTATTTAATTTTTATTTGTTTTTGACTTTTGATTGTAGTTTTTCAAATGGTTACTGAATTTTTTTGTTGTTTGTAGTATTTGAATTTTTTATAATTGGATTTTTCTGTGACTGTGTAGATGGGTTGAATTCGGTAATAAAAATGTTGCTAAGAGGGTTGCCAATATGTTAAATGGTGAACAAATAGGTATGTGTTTGAACCTTGTATTATTGTCTGATGTCCGTTGCTCTTTGTTCTTCATTTTTAAATGAAAATTGTCATGTTCTCTCCCAGATTCTAGAATATTAGTATATCTCATGCATTGGCCATTTCTATTCTTGTATGAATTTTGTGAAAAAGAATGATATGGTGTTTACTTGTTGTGGTAAGATTATATACTTGTAGTGGCAATATTTGTTGTTTCTTATCCAATTTTTAATGGGAATTGTAATGTTGTCCTGTAAACTCTAGGATTTTGGTTTTATTCTTTAGATATGGTGTTCATATTGGTTTCTGCTTGATGTAGCAGGGTATTCATGTTTTCTGCCTGTATTAAATTGGTTTTCATGTTTCTGATTTGTATCATTTGTCTCCAGGGGGAAAGAAGAGATCATCTTTCTACTATGATCTATGGAATATTAAGTACTTAAGTAAGTTCAAGTGGGATGATCTGACCGAAGAACTAGGTAAATGGTGTATGATCAGTGTCTTATTTTTATTGGGGAAACTTAAACAGATTATGCTAAAATAATCATGTTACAGCCTTAAAGAAAGCTACTCGGGAGCAAAAGCTGGCTGTAGAACTTTCTGCTGCCAAGAGAGAAAGAGATTTCTATCTGTCCAGAGTTGATCAGTCACGTGCTTTGGATGCAATAGAGGAGCGATTAAAGAAGGTATGTTACATTGCTATGTCTACACATGTTAAAGATTTGAAAGTAAATTAGGTGTACCATGCCATTATTATATTCAGTTTAGATATTTTGGAGGTATCTACTCTAGGCGTTTAAAAACTACTTCTTGGTTTGAATGAACAAGAAATGCGTAGTTCTCTCTAATCTTCATTTATAGATCAACATTTCCTGCATTTTTCTTGGTTGGTTCAATATTTTGTAACATGTTTTTTTCCTGGTATTTGGTGGTATCATATCATATAAGCAGAATAGTAAGAGGGCATTTCCATTAAGAAAACAACTAAGAGGTTTTTTTTTCCGGATTGAACTTGTCAACTTTCAAATATCATGTGTTGATCAATTGGTTGGTCAGAAAATAAGAAAGCATTTTTTGTAGAAGAATTTAAAAATCTCTCCATTAATTGTGGCATGAAATTGAACAAGTAATAAAGCTTACCGTTTGAATTGGGTTTTCTAATTTCAAATATCTTGTTTATTTTACTTTTGGCTTAGAATTGAAATTTCTTACTACAGTTTTAACTTTCAAAGATTTGTAAAAACCCAGTCTTCCATGCTTGCTTGAGTCCTGATATTGTGTTTCCTTTTGGCTTTCATATAACTGTTGTGAGTGACAATTCTGGCAGACCTTAGTATTGCACTTTTACTGCTTTCTTTGCACTTATTGTCTAATCTGATCCATATGGAAATGGAAGACCTTTCTTTTTATATAATTTGTAAAGGTTAACCCAAATTACCTCTAAAATGGTAGTGAGGTGGATGTATTGGATCTTTCTTTTCTAGTCCAACAGTGCATTGCAACTGATACTTATTTTTGACTAATACTTGGGACTGTAAGACAATATTTTCTGTTGTGAGACTTTGAATCAAGCCTTCTATTGGGAGACAACCTAAGAATGAAAATGGTGGATAAATTAAATAAATATAATTTTGAGAACAAGAGTAATTAAATCATTAACATTAGCTTTGGAATCTTGTGCAAGTTTTAAATGTTGGTTTTTGACTTGATAACAACACACTTTTGTGTTTTAAGAAACTCTACTGCTACCGGTTTTTAATAATTTCAGTTTTACTCCTTATTTGCCAGATTAAAACTTAAATGCTTACTCCTTGATAACATTTGATATCATAATTGCCAGATCTGTCTCATCTTCACAATTCCCAAACAATTGTGTATTATGAATTTCTGATCCTCTTTTATTTTGTGGTCCACTACATTTTCTTAATCATTGACCTGTATAACTTGTTCTTATTTGAATTATTATAACTACTTAAAACTAAGGTAAATTGACAAGCTATGTAGCTACAATTGTCTTCTGTAATGGGAGAACTTATTTTACCCCCTTAAAGCCACAACATATTCTTTAATTATAATGCATTTGTTGATGGTTATGTGGTGTTTTTTGCTTATGATTTTTATACTGTCTTATATAATTAGCTTCACAAATATGGTAATGGAAAGTTGGTTAATGATGTCTACAGTGGTTTCTTTTCATATATATTTTTACAAATTTCAATGAATAATATGTATATTGAGGAATCAGTTCATACTGACTTCATTTCATTCTGGCTTTCGCAGAAGTCAAAGGTTCAACAAGAATCATTCCAAGTGGCAAAAGTGGTTCGTCATTTCCCTCAGACAAAGCCAATAGCTGCTGACAACAAACAAAATAAAACAGAGCTCTCTGATGATATACTGGATGCTGTATGTATCAATATCATTATTTGAAAATTATTGGGGTCTCATTTTGTTTTCTCATTTTTCTCCTTTCCTTTTGTAACATAATGTTTGAAGTCATTAGTTTTTATTTTTAATTCACGGTTTTCATTATGTCTCTTGCAGGTATTTGGGGGCTCGTAATCCATATATCGATGATACCTTCAACATCAGGAGTCAAAGAGTACGTTATAGGTTATATGATAAAATCTTTGTTGACATGGCCATATGAGGACTACTTGTGTGCCTTGTTGGTATGTTGAGGTGACAGGTTCAATGGTTGAATTTACCCATTTGGTCCTGTGTCTAAATTTTGACCTTGTATCTAAAATTTTTATGCAGTAGTCTTTGTTGAGGATTGTAAGTAACTTCAATAACTTTAGGTATTCTGATACCACCATAAAATTGAAAGTGAAGTGATAATATGAAAACCACCATAAAATTGAAAGTGAAGTGATAATATGAAAACCACCATAAAATTGAAAGTGAAGTGATAATATGAAAACCACCATAAAATTGAAAGTGAAGTGATAATATGAAAACCGTCAAGAAATTCCTAGCACTTAAATTGCTAGAAATTTAAGAACAAAGATGCTTTTGGCACGCACGCACCATTACTAAAGTAGTGTCTGACAAAATGCATAAAGTATTGATATATGTTGAAATATGTTTGATTATCTCTTTTGTCATATATGAAATACAATATGAATCTTTAGTGTTTGACAAAATGCATAAAGTATTGATATATGTTGAAATATGTTTGATTATCTCTTGTCATATATGAAAATAAAATACAATATGAATTTATATCCAAACTGTGAAAACGATATGAATTAATATCTAAATCTTTCAACATCAATTTGGACGATTACCTTGAGACACGCAAGGTCTTCTACAAAATGGAGTTTAGAAATTTGTAAAGTTGCTCCCCTCTCTCTCTTTAAAAAAATGTATTATGATAAAATATATTTGTTATTTTAAATATATAACTATTGAATAAACATTTAGCTTATTCTTTAATTGATTCTACTTGTTTTAATTGTTATAATTGAGAAATTACTTTTAGTCATGTAGATGGTAAAACAATAAACATGAGAACAAGATAAAAGGTAAATTTTTCATTAAGTGTTCAATTTTATTGAGATTGATTAAAAGTTGATATATATTTTATGTTGATAAATTTTATGATTTTAAAAATATATATATTTATAAGTTACATAAACGATATGACGTATTTAACAGGTTGTTTAATGTTTATTAAATTTATCAGTTAAAATAAATTGTCTCTTTTTCATGGTTGTGGATCACGGTATTGACTAAGGGATAAAAATTCTGTTCATATAGAAACTATTATGTAGAGTTTCTTCATGTTTATATATGGAATAAAACGAAAAGTGTGCATAATTTCAAAAATCAAATAATTAATTAAAATCTTTTATTTTTATGCTACAACGATTTTGAAGTGGCGAGTTGATAAACTACGTACATTTTTCTCATTTTGTAATGTAACATTGGTCTGGTGTCACATTTCAATTAATGCAATGTTTCCCTTCTTCAAATTGATTACATAATATGGTTACGGTAATTTGTAAATATTGCACTATTTTTGGGGATGGTTATTGAATAAATGATGTATTATCATGAAGCTGAAATAATCTTAAGGCATGCATGTTGATATTATTTGACGAAGGAAATATTAAGTGTAGTGTTTTATTGTAATATGTAGTATGCTGTCAGATGACATACGGCACTAGACCCATGCAACTTTCTAGAATGTTTATTACTTTAGAAAAAAAAATGCAAATTTTAAATCAAAATAAAGTATAAAAAAGTTAAATAATAGTCTGCTGTGCTGAAGTTCATCAAGTGCATATTTAATTAAATGTGTGTTTCAACGAGGAATTTTAGAAATTTAATAAAAATGAAATTCTTAAAATTTGAATTATTTTGATTTTAATTTTTATCATTTTTTAAATATTTTATTTGAATAAGTTAATTTAAATTTCTTAAATTTTAAATTTTTACTTTAAATATGATAATTTGATTTTAAAAATAAATATTATTTATTTTTTAAAATATTTAATAATTTTAAAAATTGAGATAATATTTAATAGTTTTAAAAAATATTTTTGAATATTTAATAATTAAAAGATAGGAGAGAGATAAAAGATATATAGGTAAGATAAGTAAGAAGAAATATGAAGAAAATTCAAATTATTATTTTTTCTGGGAGAATTCAAAATTCTACTATTCTAAAGAATTTCATAAATGTTTGAACTTTAAATTCTTTGTAAATTCTACATCCAAATAAAAAATTTCCTTACAAAGTATTTGAAATTCTTCAAAAAAAAAAAATTTGCTTCATTTAAATTTCTAATCCAAACACATTTTAATAAGTGTATTTTAATATAATTATTTATTTTATTAACTTCATTAAAATGACTTGTTTTACAAGCATTAAAGTGACTTTTAAAAAATGATTATTTCTAAGAAAAATGATACAGCATCCGAAGAAAACATATTCCGAATGATTATAAAATATTAATTTAAATTATAAAATATTAAATTAAATAATTATTTTATAATAAATTTATTAAAAAATATTAATATTTTAATGTTTGAAGGGTGATTCAGAAGACGAGTTAGAGGATATATCATTACTCTATTTCTAAGAAAAATGATACAACATCCAAAGAAACATTCCGTATTAATTTAAATTATAAAATATTAAATTAAATAATTATTTTATAATAAATTTATTAAAAAAATATTAATATTTTAATATTTGGAGGGTGATTCGGAAGACAAGTTAGAAGATGTATCATTATTATATTTTTAAAAAAAGTGATACAGGATTCGATAAAACATTCCAAAAAAAACATTCCGAATGATTAAAATATTATTTTAAATTATAAAGTATTAAATTAAATAATTATTTTATAATAAATTTATTAAAAAATATTTATATTTTAACATTCGGAGGGTAATTTAGAAGACAAGTCAAAGATATATCATTACTCTATTTCTAAACATGAAGCTATTTCGAACACCCACCGAGTTTTCAAATTGGGTGATGGTAAAATATGCAACATTAATATTTCAGCCTTGTCCCTACACAAGATAAATTCTTTTTTTGTTCATCCCTGGAGTATCCACCGCTGATAGCAGTGACTAATCTCCTCGCTACGTTGGAGACACCTCAAAAGGTGGGATAGCTGGCCCCAAGATTTAACGTGGCTGTATATACAAGACAAAATTCGAACCCCTGACCTTACTTAAGGGTAGATCAACCCCTACCCCTACACAAGATAAATGTTTGTTTATGTATAATTAATTTATAATAAATAAATTTTTTTAAATATATGAGCGTAAAAATAAACACGTGCATCTGCGTAGTTTTTAATAAATAAATAAATAAATAAGTTACTTAAACTGATCTTCCATTTTTTTTTTTCTGAAAAAAATAAAAATAATAGAAGTTACAATATAATGAGTGGGTTTATAATAGAAAAATAAGTAATTTTATATTACTTGCATGGATAAAAATGTCATAAATAATATGTATAACAAAAGGCATTATTCCCGTTATATATTGTTATTTATTGTTATAAATTATATTATTATTAAATTTTATCATAAATAAACATTTTAAAATATGAAAAATTTTAAAAATATAGATTATATTTATTTATAATAAATAATTTAAATTATGATAAACAATATTTTAACTATTTACAATTTTTTTTAAATATTAAAATTCGATTTAGATATCAGGTTTAATTATTCATATAATCTTTGTATTTGTAGTATTTTTACTATTTGATCCTTATATCTAGAAATTATACATTTTAGTTCTTACACATACTTTTATTTACATTTTGATCTGTATTGTGAAATCCCCTGACGTTATTAATAGTAGGGTGACATGGCATTGATATATCTGAGAGTGATGTTTTAATCTCTATACTTGCACTAATTTTACACTAATTCCTATAACTAGAAATTTTATATTTTAGTCTTGTACGAGCAATTTTTTTTTATGTTTCAGTCCTTTTCATCAATTCTCAAGTTAATTTTAGATTTTTTAACACTTATAAAATTGAAACTATTGGTGTAAAATTGTCAAGAATTTGAAAACATGTTTCCACCATGTGCTATCATCAAAAGCGATTCTCAACAAGTCCCTCTCTTCAAAACATAATTCATTAGGGTGAAACATGTTAGCTAGAAAACGGTGTACCATACTAATGGGGTGTATGTACCCAAAAAATTTGTTTAAATGTGCCCAAAAATAATACTGATGCGCATTCCATATCATAAAGGAGGGCATGTGCAGTTTCAACGAGGTGTCAATGTTTGTATTCGAATAAGTCATTATGTTGGGAAGTGTATGATGAAGTGGCTAAATGAGAAATTCCATGTTTTTTTTAGGGAAGGTCTAAGTTTAATAAATTTTTTCCCATTGTAATTGTATAAGGATATAATTTTGGTCTCAAATTTGTTTTCAACTAATGATTTAAAGGTTGGAAAAGTTTGAAATACATCGGATTTTTATTGTATTGGATATAATCATACATATTTATAAAAGTGATCAATGAAAATCACATAGTAAAAATGTTCATATATTGATTCAATTGAAGTGGGACCCCACACATCAAATAATACAATTTCAAGAGATTTTGAACTAGATATAGCAGACTTGAGGAATAGAAGTTGGTGACATTTACTTGATAGATAATTTGTGCAAGAGACTTTGGGACATAGGTCAATGAAAGAACATGCTTCGGGACTTTGAGATGAGAGTGACCAAGACAATGGTGTCACAATTGTTAGAAAAGATGGCCTAACCAAGAGGGAGGGGTGAATTGGTTACTTAAAAAAAATTGTTGCAAAACTTTTTTGGTTAAAAAAAAAACTTTTCTAAATCCTTCCAAAGAAGTATATTGATCTATTATTGTACATAAGTAGGCATGACAATCTAACCCGCCCTCGTGGGTACTCGCTCGAACTCGTCCCAATTTAGACGGGGAAAACCCGTGTTTATCGGGTTCGGGTTTGGATTTTCCCCGATTGATAAAATCATGGACGGGGGTGGGGACGGAGATGTTAATACCCGCCCCGCCCTGCCCCCGGTCCGCTTAATAATATAATTAAAAAATTATTTATATATATATATATATATATAAACCAAAATTCAAAATATTTATATGTAAAAATTTGTATTATTTTACTTTTCTTTTATTTTTTTTTAAAAAATTTGTTCATATTTATTTAAAAGAAGAAAAAAAAAAGAAGAAAAAAAAAGGTAGGAGCGAGGGTGGGGATAGGGCAGGGAAACTCGAACCCCGCCGGGAACGAGGATAGGTACCTAGATTTTACCCCAGCTGATATCAGGGGCGGGGACGGGGGCAATTTAAATCTGCGAGGGCAGGGGCAAGGAACGTAAAACCCGC